GAACTCACTTGGTAGCCCAGGCTGGCCTCGAACTCACAGAGATCCGCCTGGCTCTGCCTCCCGAGTGCTGGGATTAAAGGTGTGCGCCACCACCGCCCGGCTCCTTTCCCTTATTGACCAGACCATTCCATAGTTCTCTGTCTACATTCTTACTTGTCTGACCAACAATCCTCATTTTTGTTATTGTTCTTCTGTACCTAATGTCTCTTTATTTATTTTTTTTGGGGGGGTGGGTGGGAGGAGCTGAGGACCGAACCCAGGGCCTTGCGCTTGCTAGGCAAGCGCTCTACCACTGAGCTAAATCCCCAACCCCTAGTGTCTCATATTGTTTCGTTGTGTTTGTGCTTTTCCCTGGGTTTTTCTGCACTGCCATTAGGGTATTATACGCTTTTATTATTTTATTGCAATAATATGCATGACGGACGATGCTTCTTGGATGTGGATTTCAGTATCTTATCAGTTGTTAAACCGAAATAAGAAATCCAATTGGACTGGTGAGCAGGCCATTCGCTCATTTTTAAAAGTTAGAATGAGTTTGGATTTGACTGTGTTTAAGGACCAAATACAGGTGAAGAAATCACAAATGGTAATCTAGCTACCTGAAGAGTTCATAATTAATTTGTTCATTATTGTTAATAATTCAGGAAAGACTCTGTGTGTATTATTCAAAATTAATTGCCAACTCCAATGTTTAATTTAAATCTATTTATATCTGAAATGATATTAAAATATTTCTCTATTAAAATAATGGCTTTCATTTATCTGTAAATTATAGTGACCGGAAGTGTGGGAAATTAATATGTAAATACAGAAGTGACAATCTACTTAGAATGAGATCTGCCACTATAATTTATGCCAATATAAGTGGGCAAATCTGCATTTCCCTGGAATATGCCCCTCATCATAAAGAGAGCCATAATATGTGGGTGAAAGATGGAACTGTCTGCGGCTCCAACAAGGTAGGTGACCTCTCCCCAGCAGCTCCACTGCTGTGTGGTGTGATCTCCTCTCCCCAGCATTCCCAGGGTGGTGTGGTGTGATCTCCTCTCCCCAGCATTCCCAGGGTGGTGTGGTGTGATCTCCTCTCCCCAGCATTCCCAGGGTGGTGTGGTCTGATCTCTCTCTCTCTCTCTCTCTCTCTCTCTCTCTCTCTCTCTCTCTCTCTCTCTCTTGGTTTTTCGAGACAGGGTCTCTCTGTGTAACAGCTCACCCTATAGACCAGGCTGGCCTCGAACTCACTAAGATCCACCTGCCTCTGCCTCCCGAGTGCTGGGATTAAAGGCGTGCGCCACCACCGCCCAGCTTTGCTCCCCCTTTCTCACTGTAACATTTCACCTGTTAGTAAACCTTTCTTCAGCTGCCTTGCCCCCACCCACACTGCATCCAGTCCCTTAGAACCCCAGAACTCTCTAATTCTGTTTGGATTCACATAATGATGACCTCACAAAATACCCTATAAGCTCTTCCTTGTTCCATGTTGGCAAGGTTGCATTCTTTTTTTTTGTGGCCAAATAATCATTTCAATATGCATTTTTATGTATTATTTGCGATAATTTATAATTGGTTGATTTTTAATAATTTGTAATCATTGCATTGATATATTTTTCTTATGCAGCATATATACCACATTTTATCCACCTTTCTGTTGGTGGCAATAAACCAGTGATATCGCTTGGCCATTATGAATAATGATGCAATAAACAGGACAAGACAGTGCAGGTGTCTCTTCAGCAGCCTGACTTTATTTTCTTTGGGTGTGTACCCAGCTGTGGGACTATTGGAGCCCAGAATAGCTCTAAACCTTTCTCTTATCGATTTATTTTGAGGGCTTTCCAAAATACAATTTGCATAAGAACTATACCAATTTACGTTTCCACCAGTGGTGCTGAAGGTCCCCCTCTTTGTCACGCCCTTGCTAGTCTGTGTTTTGGGGGTGTCGTTTTTTTGGTTTTCTGTCATTTTGTCAATAGCCAGTTTAACTGGGATAAGATGGTATTTCACGGTGGTTTTTAATCTTAAGAGAGTATGGAATGCTTTTAATTAAGTAGTGACTCTAGCTGGGGTATCAGTTACCTTGTCCATTCCAGGTTTGCCTGAATAAAGAATGTGTAGAAGATACCATCCTGCAATACAATTGTACACCAGCACAGTGCAACAATCATGGGGTAAGTAGCAGACGAGAGTGAGGAAGGGAGCCATTGAAACCGCTCAGGAAAAGCAGGGGCTTAGTCCCTCTCCTCCGCCCCCCTCCTGCCATGCCCCCATCCCCCCCACCCCCCGCCTGCTTCCCTCCTTCCCAAATAATAAGCCACACAGGGAAATGGACAGTATCTTACGTAAACATTAGTTTGCAGATCTCCTGGTGTAAGCGAACCTGGCTGGCTGTCTTAGCCTGTGACTTTATGCTGTTTTCAGGTATGTAATAACAAGAAGAATTGCCACTGTGACCCCACATACTTACCTCCAGATTGTATAAATACACAGGATCAATGGCCCGGTGGGAGCATTGATAGTGGCAATCAGCAGCGAGCCGAGCCGATCCCTGGTGAGTCTTCCTAACAAGGAGAAAACGTAATTAAAGCACTGTGGGACAGAGGAGGCGAAGCGCTTGCCTCACAAACACGAGGACTGGAGTTGGGTCCCAGAACTCACATAGAAATGCTGGGTGTGGTGGTACGAGCTTGGAATTCTGCCACTCGGGAGGCAGAGACAGGAGCCACTCTAGATTAATCGGTAACCTTCAGGCGAATGAGAGACACGGAAGGTAAGGTATTGAGAAACTGAGGAAGACACTCAGTTCCATCCACCTCTGGAACACACACACACACACACACACACACACACACACACACACACACACACACACAGAGAAGGTTCTAAGATACAAACTGATTTTTAAAAGTCAAGCACCCATGATTCTGCAGGAGTACAAACATCAATAGAACAGCAACACCTCTCAGGTATGGACCAGTCACTATGGACCAGAAACTCGGTTCAAAAGTACAATCTTCATTGCCTCCAAAAATCTCCAGCATGTCAGGTGTGAAGCAGGTGGATCTCTAGAAGTTCAAAGCCAGCTTGG